ACTTTATATGCTGAATTTTACAAGGTACGAGTTGCAGTTTGTAAATATATATATATTTTTAGATAATATTGGTAGGTTTGATATTCGTCTGTAACTTTGTTGGCAGTATCGCCTCCATTATGAACACCGTTACTCTTTCTTTTTTTAAGGATACCAGTAGATTTGTTGAATAGCAGAGCAGTAGGTGGTGTAAGGGCATGTGTGGCACTCTTATACACCATAGTTGGTATTTCACTAATATCCCCAGCTTTGGTTTTAAGAGAACGAATTATGGAAATAAGTAATTATCAAAAAAGAGGGCGCCAAGCCGGGGAGACTATGTAGCACCATAACAGAAGATATTCAAAAGGCGTTAATATCACTAAGGATGCGCAAGTGACCTCAAAAGACAGTCGGAAAGCAAGACACTCACATCCTGGAAGTCAGGACATTCAACAAGGACAATGCAGTTTGGACAATAAGGACCAAGGCAGTGGGGGCTCCAGTAAGTGCCTGTGTGTTAAACGTGTAATATCAATATGTAACCTCGCCAGAGCCGCTTCCCACTGCCGGTTACGGTGGTAGGAGGAAGGCGATGGGGACACGATACCCTTCAGAGCACGCAGTATGTTACCAATAACAGAATACCAACGACCCTGCCAACGAGCACGGATTGAGGTATGATTGACTGGGTAGAAGTCAGAATAAGGAACGTCTTTGCGGGAAATAGAAAAAAAGCGGAGCGGCACCTCAGCACGCTCACTTAAGAAAACAATAAAGAGAAGAAGAGCAGAGAAAAAGATCATAAACAGAGAGGGCGGTCAAGGGAATCTGGGGAAAGCATGGGCAGAAACAGGGGAGTATACTTGATCAAGGGCAGCATCCGAGAAAGGACCACGGGAACCTCCATGGCTGTGACAGGCGGCTCTGCCACTGAAATAGGAGGAGACTCGGGGATAGAACCCGAAGGCGAGGGAGATATCGATGCCTTCTTATCCGCCGGATCGGAAGGAGAGGAGATAGGTCTACTTTTGACTTAAGAGAGGCGTTCCAGCAGCAATCCACTCGGCAACAGTCTCCAGTCTCAACAGGAGATGGAGAACAAGAGCAGTCAACATAAAGACGACCGGGAGGAATGGACAATGGCCAGGATAGACAGGTGTTGTGGCGGCTGAGAACTAAATAATTATTAAAAGAAGGCACCAAGCCGGGAAGGCTATGTAGCACCATCAAAATGTGCGGAATAATCATAGGGCACTAAGTAATTATCAAAAGAAGGCACCAAACCGGGAAGGTTATGCAGCACCATCAAATGTGCGGGATAATCAGAGGGCACTAAAAATCACCAAGGATGCCAATATGAGAACAGAAACGCATAAGGCGAACGATATCAAAAGTATCAGTCACCAAGAATACTATCGAGGGACTAGCGACCACGAGGGACGGTCGGAAAACAAGACACACGCTCGTCCCAGAAGTCAGGACATTCAACAAGCATATGCACGACTGTAAGAGGGACAATGCAATTAGGACAATAAGGAGCAGGGCGGCGCTCAATCAAGTGACCATGAGTTAAGCGAGTATGGCCAATAAGCAACCTCGCCAGAGCCGTTTCCCATCGCCGGTTACGGTGGCAGGAGGACGGCCACGAGTACGCAGTTTGTTACCAGTAGCAGGCAACTAACAAGCCTGCCAACGGGTAAGGATGGAGAAATGGTTAACCGGATAAAAGTCAGAATAAGGAATACCTTTACGAGAGATGGGACAAGAACAGACAGCTTCCTTAGCAGCAGCATCCGCATGCCCATTTAAAGAGAGACCAATATGACTGAGAACCCAGCAAAACTCATCTGACTTAAATTTACTGGAAATAAGAAATAGCCAATGCTGAATCTCGACAACCACTGGATGGACTGGATTAAAGGACCCGAGAGCCATGAGGGCACTACGAGTCAACAACTACAAAGGAAGATTGGCAATGAGAAAGCAGGAGACGAAGAGCATAGAGAATAGCATAAAGTTCCACTGTGAAGATGCTAGTTAACGGAGGTAGGCGACACATACAAGTACTGTCAGGAAAAACAACAGAGTAGCCTACAGTCCACAGACTTAGACCCATCAGTGAAGATGGAAACAGAGTGGGAGTGCGAAGAAAAGTGCTCAAGGAAAAGGCGTTTCAGAACCGTAGAGGGGTAAAAGTTCTAGTGATGAACTAGATACCTTGAGGTGCTTCCAGGGCTTAGCGTCCCCGTGGCCCGGTCGTCGACCAGGCCTCCTGGTTGCCGGACTGATCAACCAGGCTGTTGGACGCGGCTGCTCGCAGCCTAACGTACGAGTCACAGCCTGGTTGATCAGGTATCCTTTGGAGGTGCTTATCCAGTTCTCTCTTGAACACTGTGAGGGGTTGGCCAGTTATGCCCCTTATGTGTAGTGGAAGCGTGTTGAACAGTCTCGGACCTCTGATGTTGATAGAGTTCTCTCTCAGAGTACCAGTTGCACCTCTGTTTTTCAACGGGGGTATTCTGCACATCCTGCCATGTCTTCTGGTCTCATGTGATGTTATTTCTGTGTGCAGGTTTGGGACCAGCCCCTCTAATATTTTCCACGTGTAAATTATGTACATATTATGTACTTATGTAGATGTACATAAGGATGTACAAAACTTCGGAAGGGGGGACTCTAAACAGGGGCAAGGAAGGAACAACACGAGGAGATACTTTAGAAATACAAACTGAAAGAGAATCCTGTAAATGAGATAACCAGACAGAAAGAGGCAGGTGGTGAAGAGTAACAGGAACCACAGGAGGGGTAAAAGTTAAAGCACGACAGAGGCAAGAGGAAGGATGTTGCAAGGACCGTGCAAGATAGCGAAGATAGTAGCGATCACGGTGGTCCTGGACTACTGAGAAGGATTAGGGTGCGAGGGGAAGGACAGCACAGGAGACAGGGAAGACTTGTAAGGAAAGAAACACCCCGCGGGGAACCACGAGGAAGACTCAGTTTCAGAATATAGCGAGGTAGTGGTGTCGGGGTCCAAGGCCTGGAAAGGGTTGCAGAACTGAGAAAGTGGAAGAGAAGTGGAACGCAATGCACGAGCATAAAACATGCCGGAGAAAGAGGGAAGGTGGTGAATCTGGAGTCTTGCTTCAGGGAAAGATAAAAGATCGCGATGTTTCAAAGTGAGGAAGGCTTCCTCAAATTTGTAGTGCACACATGTGTGGGAGAAGGCAGGGTGGGTATCACCCGAAATGAACTGAACTTGGGAATATGGGCACATCGTCTTAGAATGGCCAGAGACTCCACACAAGGGGCATAGACACCCCTCCCTTGAGTACTTGAAGGAACTATGTCCAAATCTCCAACACCTATTGCAGAGGCGAGAAGAGGGCATGTACTCCTGAACAGAGCAAGAATCAGCAAGAATTACGGAAGACGAAAGTGACCTACTATCAAGTTATTTTTATTACACAGAGAGGCTATCGACGATGACGACCCCGAGAAGGTTGAGTGAATGTATCAATCTGGAAAATAGAATGGCTTTGGGCCTCAAGGATATATTTAATATAGTGGCAGTCTTTGAGTTCCCAATCACCAGTCACAACATGGTGTGGGAGAATACTATGCCAATGGTGGCATTTAACCCAAAAGAAATATTTTTGGAGATCCGAACTGAGGTCTCACCAATGTAGGACAATGGAGACAAGCAGACACCCACTGCCTGAGAAGGGGCGGCAATGACACGTTTCAGTACAGGTTGGGTTAAAAGTGGAAAGGGTATCTACCGAATCAACTAGGTGTTTATGGATGAATAAATCATCAGGACGTGCAGAATGAAAATACAGTCACTTAGCTGGACCAAACAAATCCTGGAATATAGTAGATTGGGAAGGAATCATGTGCATTCGAGTGAGGTGACAGTGCCAAGCACCCTAGTAATAAGAGGGTTTAAAGGCACAGTTGTCACGAGAGATGGAGCCACTCCAGGTGATGAGGTGGTCACCACTGGGGGCCAATGGGCTCAACCCCGCCACAGAGGTGGGAGGGGAAAAGAGAGGTTAGTCAGAAAAGAGTCAGAGCAGCAACTTTGTCTGGGCCCAATGTAGCGGGGGCTACAGAGCTGGTCCTTCCATCACAGTCCAACTCGGGGGCCTGATCGCTCACCCCACGAGTCTGAAGTTGAATAATGATCAGAAATTGGCATAGAACATGAATATAATTACATCCATAAATAAGCCCCCATATCTTGGGCATGATTCCTATCATCTAATGCCTATGTTCACGTAGCAGTAAATAGGTGCCAGGGAGTAAACTGTTGTGAAGTTGCATCCCGAGGAAGGTTAGTAATTCGACCTTGGGGAGGACCTCAATATAAACCTAACATATATACATACAAAGGCTGCCTGTTCTCAATAAAATGAATTAAATGAATAATTTCTGGGAGATGGTACAGGCACTAAAATTAACCTTCAATATGGTTAAGGACCCAGCAAAATTAACTCTCTTATATCTACTAAAGATGAGGAATGGCCAGTGCTGGATTTCAATCATCACAGAATTGGAAGGGTTAAATACTCCAGGACCACGAGAGAACTGCAAATCAAACACAATAATGAACTTCAGCACATGAGAATTAAGTGATGCAGAGCATCCAAAATTGCATAAAAGCTACGCCATGAAAATGCTCAATTCTAGGGGAAGGGGAACAAATTTTTTTTATAAAAAATTACAGAGTAGCCAAACCCATCAACAAAATCCGATCCATCTGTAAAGAGAGAAGTAGTGCTCGAAAGGCAGTGAAAATGATAAAGGAAAAGATGTCTCATGACTACAGTGGTATAACTTCACGTAATGTATCAGGGATTTACAAAATGGAACTCTCCATGGGGGCAAGGTTGGAGAATACAAGGAGACACTTTGCAGATGTGTACCAGGAGAAATATGATGCAAAAGTTTTATTAGCCAACTTCCAACACTTAGGCTGTACTGTATTGTTTATGCAAGTGCTAAAAGAAAGTTTAGAAGACAGGGCCCATAATTTTAATTCCATATTTTAACATTCTCATCACTGATACTATAAAAATGGGATTTTGACTGGTGAATAAGAAATGGATAAAATTGTATCAAAATAACATTCTGTTATACATTAAGTGATCTGGAAAAGCACTAAGGGTACACAAAATTGTCAAAACACTTTTCAACATCCAAAATCACAACAGTTTTGTACTAAAATTCTACACTTGCTACTGGCAGATGTGGGCAAAGACAGGATTCATCAAGTCCATGCTAATATTTCGATTTCTTGCTCAATTTTGAACAAAATTAAATGCCATTGCAAATATGAACTTTTGCCATACAACAAATTAATGTTTTACGATACAGGTAACCCAAGAATGTTGGTAGAATCAATACTTTAGCAGTGAAGATGAACCTTACACAGTTGGCAATGCCTTTATCTGCTTCTCACATCCACAGCAACTTCACATCTATATTTAAAATTAAAATCACAATAATTCGAAAGGATAAAGTTCATCTTACCACAGTACAGCTTTGGATACACCCTTCTGGTACTTACACCATCACCCCACCAATGCAAAAGCAAGAAAATAATGAGGTTACCCAACCTGCATGTCTTAGGCCAGGAAAGTTACTTACCCAACCTGCATGTCTTAGGCCAGGAAAGTTACTTACCCAACCTGCATGTCATAGGCTGGATGTAAATTACTCACCATGTGATTTTATTGCTTTTACATTCCTGGCCAGTGTTAAAACAGTTTATTTGACAGCTTCATCTAACATTAATAAAACCTAGAACACAATGGAGTCTAATTTAAGGTACCACAGAGAAATGTCAGCTCAACTTGAAACTGTATTACTTGTGAAATTTGTGTACAGTATTTCATTTCAGATTATTGTATGTGACATGGCAAAACAAATACAAGCTCTGGTTACTTGACTGAACCATGCCCATTAGCCCAGTTAATAAATTTGCCTTAAATGTATCCCAATGGTTTATACACTTTGGTAAAAGGAAATGGGGGAAACCTAGAGCAACAGAAAATTATTCAAAGAAATGGGTAAAATCTGAGATGGAAAAGGATACACAAAAATAATCTACATCAGAGATAATACAGGACATTTAAAGTAAATGGATTATAGAAGAACTTGATTGCCTGGCATCAAATAAATACAAAGGATGATTTATATAAAGTAAATCTATTACAACTACAAAGGAATATGAGCTTCTTTACAATGTGACGTGTAGTCTTTAGTGTTAAATATAATCCTTTTGTGTGGAAGGTCAATTTCATCAATGTACATGAACTATGCCCTTAGTAGTAGTGGTGTGGAAGGGTTAAGATGGATGAGCAGTTGTTGCATTGTGGCAAGTAGTCATCTACACAACTATGCATCAATTTACTTATTACTGCAGAAAACATTCTACAAGGATGCATATACAGTTTTGGGAAAATTACCCAATAGTCAAAATGGTACAAATGTCATCTAGTCTTATTTACTCTTGCCAAGTTCAAAAAACTATCTGCAAACACCTTTTGGAACAATTAATGTGGAAGTGCACAGCTGCTTTGTCTTAAAAGAAATTCTCTGGAATTTAACCATCATGTAAACGAAAGGTGTGACAATTAGCATGTCGCTGCCAACATATCTACTAGCCTGAGTGCCATTGGCGACATTGGCAGCTTGACCCGTCATAGCATGGGGCTAGTTTACAACCTATTTACCTCAACAGCAATGGAAGGATAAACACGTGGGCGAACTAAGGACACGTAAATACATGGAGTTCAGTCAGCTGTTAATCCCTACTTTGAGTAGCAAGATACATGGGCATTAACTAATGTGTTTGTGTACTTAACACACTGCTGTGACGGGTTCAGCAACAAAATAGAAAATACCGTAGTTGGACCTGGTAGTGCACTGGCCAAGGCTCTAGACCAGGTAGTGCATTGGCCAGGGCTCTAGACCTGGTAGTGCACTGGCCAAGGCTCTAGACCAGGTAGTGCACTGGCCAAGGCTCTAGACCAGGTAGTGCACTGGCCAAGGCTCTAGACCAGGTAGTGCACTGGCCAAGGCTCTAGACCAGGTAGTGCACTGGCCAAGGCTCTAGACCAGGTAGTGCACTGGCCAAGGCTCTAGACCAGGTAGTGCACTGGCCAAGGCTCTAGACCAGGTAGTGCACTGGCCAAGGCTCTAGACCAGGTAGTGCACTGGCCAAGGCTCTAGACCAGGTAGTGCACTGGCCAAGGCTCTAGACCAGGTAGTGCACTGGCCAAGGCTCTAGACCAGGTAGTGCACTGGCCAAGGCTCTAGATCAGGTAGTGCACTGGCCAAGGCTCTAGACCAGGTAGTGCACTGGCCAAGGCTCTAGACCAGGTAGTGCACTGGCCAGGGCTCTAGACCAGGTAGTGCACTGGCCAGGGCTCTAGACCTGGTAGTGCACTGGCCAAGGCTCTAGACCAGGTAGTGCACTGGCCAAGGCTCTAGATCAGGTAGTGCACTGGCCAAGGCTCTAGACCAGGTAGTGCACTGGCCAAGGCTCTAGACCAGGTAGTGCACTGGCCAAGGCTCTAGACCAGGTAGTGCACTGGCCAAGGCTCTAGAATGCCATTAATTTTAATAAAGTATGACATTAATATAATTATTATTCAAAACAAAACCAAGTTATGCTTTCAGAAAAAAAGAATATGCATTACTGTATATTGCACAAAAAAATAACCTCTAGGAAATTTATTGCATTAAATTTCAAAAGAATCAAGATAAATATTTCTGGTGAACATTGCACATTTTGGGCTGTACATCAAGTTAAATGCCAAAACACAAGTTTGAATATCAGAAGTATGGTTTATTACAAGTCCTGGATGATACGAGCGAGCACTACAAGTCCTGGATGATACGAGCGAGCACTACAAGTCCTGGATGATATGTGCGAGCACTGCAAGTCTTTGAGTCTTTGTGCGAGCACTACAAGTCCTGGATGATATGTGTGAGCGCTACAAGAACTGGAGGGTATATGCAGGAACTACAAGTCCTGGAGTGCAGTTGTGGTCGCTTCAGTTCTGACTAGCACTAGAGTACATGAGTGGACATAACAAATCCTGAAGTAGTTGCCAGAGTGCACATTAGAGCCTGAAAATTCAGGTTATGGACAGGTAATAATCTAGCTTGACATTATATACAGATCATATACACACATACCAGTGAACACACAAACTTTAACTAAATACTCTTGCATTTTGCCTATGCTCAACATGAGCCAAAAATTGAATACCAAAGTTCACATTTCCAATGAAAATAATAATGCTTGTGTTGCATGTGCAGTAAACAGTGAACGTTTAGGCAATGCAGTTTAATATTTCACAAATATAACAATTTTTCTGTAGAAAAACATTTTAACTGCCATTGGAGACAAAAAAAAAAAAAAAAATCTTGTATAAGAAGTGAAATAAAAACATTATTATTCACTGAAAAATAAATTAGACCCTGCTCAGTACATGTGTGATAAAGAAAATGTCAACCAAAGCGCTCATCATTTAACTAAGACAAATTTCACATCAATTAGTTTATAACAATAAATGTTGACTCCATGCATTCCATAAATTGTAAGTGGCATCATGTTTACTATCTCCTTAAACATCTATTTACAAATGACTTTGTACATTCAACAAATTGTAAATATGAAACCACTGTGAATTATCCTCGCCTATATTCTTTCATACATTAAAATAAATATATCTTTTTTTACACACAAAAAACAATAAATTACAAAATATATTTGACAAGCTATCTTTATTTTCATTTTCACTTACTAAAAATATATATAACATGAAATGTTATTTTCGCAGCAAAAACTGAGCAGCAAGGGGAAAATGGTCAGACGGACACACTGATGAAGGTAGAGGTGCAAATCTATCAGCTTCTGGTCCTGACAGCAACCCATAACGAGCCAGCAATTTCAGATTTCCCTCAACTGGTCTGTTTAAAGAGGAAGAATAGTTACGAGAATACAGCATATAGTCCACCGTTGTCCAGCCATTCTGATGAGTGGTAGCTTCAGGAGCCCTGCCCAAGCGATTCAAGCGGTGGCGGTAAACAGAGTGAAAGTTGAATCCGTGAGAAAACCATCCAGATGGTGTGCGCCCTTGATATAGGGTATTAGAGTTATTATGGGGTAAACACTCACGATCTGAATGATACAGATGTATTAGCGATTCTTCTAGTCTTCGTTTGTCTGACAGGGAGAAAATGGGCCCACGTGTATTTTCCAGGTAACGACTTTGTGCTAACACTGCATGCTGACAGCGATCTGTGAGCCCAAGAGACTGGGGAAAGAGTTCTGGCCCAAGTAATGACCCAATAGCTCCATGCCTGGTCAGAGTTTTACGAGCCAAACCTTCGTACTGCAGTCGGCCCTCCTTTAAAAACTGTATTAATGAACTATGGGGTTCAGCATTAAAATCTCCAGTTACTATTACAGGGCAGTACTTTGTTATGCCCCCTTTCTCTCCTTCATAGCTTAGTCTGTCTATCTCAGAGAGCAACAATACTATCTGAGCCAGCTTTACATCATGCCTGTTAGGGTTGTACAAGAGATGTGTTGTTGCAATACATAAAGGTGCAGAGTTTGGCTGCGATACTGGTAAAAGTTTTGCTATAAGTCCAATATTGTCACGGTCTAAAACATTTCTAGCTTCTGGCTGAAGATACTCCACACTACTGTGTTCTAACAAAGAGAATTTATTTTTTTTGAAGAATATGGCACAACCATCAGTCTTAATTCCTGTTCGTTTCTTAAACAATCCATCATATCCCTGGTATGTGAACCAAGGGAGATAATGACTGTGATAATGGGAGGCCTGCACTTCCTGTAACATGAGCACATCAGGGTCCAGGTCATTGATCTCATGTTGTAGCAGTGCCCATCTGTAGTCCCATGAGAGATGTTCCTCCTCACAACATTTGTAAAGACTCATATTGTCAGTCAGCAGAGCCTGAGCCAACACATTGTAAGACAAAATTGTAAACATAACATCAGTTGGCTTCATGTTCTTCCCAGACAAAATTTCCTGCCCAAGACCTGTCATCTCCCACTTCCTTAAGTCTTCCAATTCTCTTCGTAATTTTAGCACCTCATCACTAATATCTATTTCTGTGTTTTCCAAATCCTTAACTCGTAATTTCTGAAGAGATATAAATTCCGAATTGCTGATATCCATATCTCTAGTCTCATGATCAGAAGAGGTAGTACTACATTTATCTTCTTGATCAGACATATAAACATCAATGACCTCCACCTCAATAGATCTGCTGCTGGACGAAGATGCAGGATCCTCAACAATCTCCACAACATCAGGATCTACCACATTCACCTTCTGAATATCAGGACTTAATTCCATATTCTTGTAGTCAGATACATTCTTTTCTTTTATATCTAAATTGGATGGAGCAGAAACCTCTTCCATTGGTTTTGCCTTGAGCCCTTGTCTTGTGCTTGAGTGGCACTTTCTTCTCTGATTGCCTGGCACAAGTTTTCTTCCTGGTGATAGCATATGATCTTGCCCCTTTTCAGGTGCTGAAATGGTGCACACTACCATGATTTCATCAACATCATTCTTACTAGGACTTTCAAATAAAATATTTATGTCATTGTCTTCAGAGGGTTTGACAGATTTGCTTTTGTTTCTTTTACTGTGAAATTTAGTTCTTTCTTTAGTTCTATTGTTTTTCTTATCGCACAATTTACTCGTTTCAGACTCTGAGGTTGCAGGAACATAAATGATGTCACTATCACACGACACTATCACTTCATCACTACGTCTAGATCCTGTCCCAGAACACTCACCATTGCTTCCACCTTCCACTGAATTCACTACATTACTACTACTACTACCGCCATGATCCTTCTTAGATACTGCCTCAGCATTACTGCTGTTTTCTTTGTTACACTTGTTACCACTTGTTGTCTGGGGAAAAACCACCTCAGAAGGTCTGGTGTCAATGACAATGAATTCTCCCAAATCATCATTTTCACGTGGCGGACTGGGCGGGAGTGGGATAAAATCCAGGACAGCAGAATCAGTGATAACCTTTGAGGTCCGAGAGATACTTTTAATCTTTTTTTGTGGTATAGGTCGCAGTGGCGACAACAAGTCCCTGGTCCGCTTGGAATTCATTTCAGACAACTCATTAGGTTTAGCACTTATAGAGAAATTGGAAAACACATTCTCAAACTTTCCAACAGCTGCCTCCTCTTTGTTTAGAGCATTCTGCGATGACGTCTCCTTTGTTCTGGGCCTACTGTGGTTAACCTGAAGACATGTTCCAGGAACAATTGTACGTGTTGAGTACCAACTAATCCTGAGACAGTTGGTGTGAGACAGTGTGTCTGGACTGATCCGCAGCAACTTGGACACACCATCCCTGACCTGCGATGTGTTTGTGCTACCAACTCCACAAGCTGTACGACTCGCGTTGTACAGCACACGTGTTGGCAGCAAACAATGCATGCAGGTGCTGAAATGATAAACACTCATTAATCAATATGAAAAATAATAACTATAATTCTATAGCATTAGGGCAATCAAGGGAGGTGTATCTGGTCAACTCTCTCAACACAGTACAAAATGTTATGAAATACTGTAATATATAAACACTAATGTGTACCCCTTTTATCTTTCTTCTGCTTCCTCTCTCAGCACAGCCAGACAATACATTCCCTTACCATATATATAATGTTAATCATAATATGTAATGAAAGTGTAATACAAAATTATAGAATTTTAAAATGCTTATATGCCACAGAATGAAAAAATGGCCAATTAAAATCACTTAATTCTATTTGAGTTAGAAATTCTGAAAAGTGCTGTATATACTTCAAAGTTCAGCATATAAATTTACATAATGTCCTCAAGATCATGAAGCCCTTGCATTTGCTAAAACTTAACTTTATCAAATTAACTTTTAAAGTGCTTAAAAATATTAAAATTGATTCAATATCTTCTTGGACATGATATTGTATTCTGGTACAGACGTCGACATACCAGCTCAAGATGAACACGGATTCTCCGGCAGTGTCGTAAAAACCCTGATGGAACCGTTGCTGAACAAGGGGCATATCCTGTTCACCGACAACTATTACACCAGCCCCTTGTTGACCAAATACCTCCTTGCCCACAACACCGGCGTATGTGGCACTGTGAAGGCCCACAGGAAGGAAATGCCAGTGTTTGGTATTGATATAGCTGTGGGTGATTGACAGCTGTGCAAGTGTGACAATATGCTGGCAGTGCAGTGGAAGGACAGACGCGAGGTAAATATGCTGACTAGGATTCACATCGGTGCCATGTTGGACAGTGGCAAAGTCCACTTTCAGATGCGCTTCCTCATGTATAAACTGGACTGTCATAGACTATAACTATAATGCGCCTCATCGATAAATGTGACATGATGCTTGGTGCAGTGATGTGTGTGCGCAAGTCTGTGAAGCGGATGAAAAAGTTCTTCTTCCACCTAATTCATGTTGCTGTGTTCAACTGCTTCAATATGTACCTGGTAAAATCTGGCAGGAAACCGTCAGTACGTACATTCAGTGCAGGTGTTGTGTCACAACTGCTTGTAAAGTATGGCAAGGAGGGCTCCGTTGCAGTGTGCAAGCAACAATGCCACTCACAGCTTCAGACAGACTGAGGAGTAACGAGAACTTCGGAGTACACATGCTCGAGTATATGCTAGGCACAGCATCATGGGAAAAGGGTAAACATGCATGTATAGTATGCAGAAACACTACCCGCAGAGAACAAAAGCGCCTGGTGCATGGAGTGCAAGGTGTCACTCTGCCCCGTTGGCTTTTTCGCTGCATATCACACACACGCGGAGTACCGAGTGTGTTTATGGTGTGTATATAGTGTATATATGGACTCAAATATAAATATATTAGCATGATACATTGGAAATATGTGCAGGATAAGTGAACACTTTGGTGATGCACGTAACGTAGTGTCTACGGACAGTACGGATGTTCTACTGCCATAATATAGTGTACGTGTTCATTATCTTGAGATGATTTCGGGGCTTAGTGTCCCTGCAGCCCAGTCCTCGACCAGGCCTCCACCCCCAGGAAGCAGGCCGCGACAGGTGACTAGCTCCCAGCTACCTATTTACTGCTAGGTAACTGGGGCATCAGGGTAAAAAACTCTACCCATTGTTTCTCGCCGGCGCCCGGGACCAAACTTGGGACCACAGGATCACGAGTACAGTGTTCTGTCTGCTCAGCCAACTACTCCCCATTATACATAGGATTGGCACGTAAAAACAAATAAAATGTATTTGGAACTGTGCGCAAAAAATAAACAAAAATATATTCGTGCCAGAGCGCACATCCTGCCCCTGGTGCCCTACTGGACCTGGGAGCTTACGCCACAGGCGCATGGGGAATGATGATGTTACGCGCCAACTTACAGACCCCATAGCAGCCAAAGTACAATTTCGACTTTGTTACTATACTCGTACTCGGGGAAGGGTTTTTGACACTTTCAAAAATAAAAAAATTTCCAGAGAATTTATTTCCTGCGCACTGGGGGGAGGGGGGGTCATATTTGGAAGCCGAGCAGTTGAAGGGTTAAGCTGCCCGTTTTATTTGTATTAATCCTATCAATTTATATCATCTTTAATTTGTGGAAAACCTTCTAATGGTAACTTGAGAGAGTAAACAGAGAGATCTGTTTTACAGTCCACTTCAGAGGAGCTTGGCTCATAGACAGTTTGGACTCTAGTAGATCACAGCTAAGCACTCATTTTTATTTTAATCTTTTTAATCTTTTTGGTGCATGCCAATTTGGTGCGTGCATGCGATCACAGACGGGAACGGACATGTCCGCTCTCACAGCCCAGTGACCAATCGTGATAGTGGGCAAGGCGCATTGCACTAGGTGGTCAGCCCTACTTTCATCCTGTAAATACACAGGAAAAGAAGTAGGTCCTTCTTATGTAATGAGCATTGTTGGGTAGAGCACCAGCAAGCTTGAGCCACTCCACAAGCCATTGTAAACCACTGTGACCCATCAATGGGGTGGCATAAGCACCAGCCACCTGGTACCATGCTTCAGAAAGTGAAGGCCAACTTCCTGCACAACCATGTATTCTCCAAGAGTGAACTGCTGCAAGCCCTCTCCTCCGCCACCAACGTAACACCCAATGGTGCAGTGCTGCCGGAGTTCGCCGGAGCGCTGGCAAGGGCCATCATCCATTTGCATCTCTGCAAACGAATGATGGAATGGGGGAAAGGGATATGATGGCTTGTAGGTGATGGTTAATCGTAGCAGGAAAATATTAGCATTACATTACTAATAAGTAAATAATGTTATGGTATTTCTTTGTTTTTTTTTTAAAGATTCAATAATATTTAAATTTTTATATATTTAAAAAGTAAACAGGCTAAATTGTGCTGGCACAAATCTGGAAACATAATACCCGACGCACGTGAACACTCCCTGTTCATTTATGCGAGACAAACGATATGAGGTAAAGTTGTCAACCGACCATTTTGAATACAAATATTCAGCGATAATATTCATGGCTTTAACAGTAGTTCATTAGACAGGTAGCCTTTATTCATACAATAGTATATTTTAGTATTAAATACTAGGCAGGTAAAATGACAAAACTGCTACACACAACCTTACATAATTTAGTGCTTTTTGGGGTGGTTCTAGCATCGTGTGAAATACTGAGTGTGTTTCTCTGCTTCTGTGTTTCAATGGCATTAGTAAAGTGGTGGTTTGTGTTCCATGGAGTTCTTTCTAATACAGAAGTATTTTTTCTCACAAACAACTATCATGGCTTCTAAGCAAACAATGTTGACTGCCTTCTTTCATAAACAAAATGAGGAGTGTAAGAAGAATAACGTACAAGAGACTGATAATGATAACAGTTAAAGTGGCAAAAGTTGTGTTTCGACTGCTTCTCGTTCAAATTTTCAGACTGGATCCATGGGCAATTCAGAAAGTAATGGCGCTTTGAAGTCTAATTTGTATCCCTGTTCAAGTGTTTGGACTAAAGAAATGTGGAAGTTAAAAAAGAAAAGAAAAAAAGGAAACCAATCCATGGTTAGACTTCAGTAATGATAACTTGGGTGTAAAGTATGTGCAAACATAAGCAATGTAACACTTTTCACTTTTAAGGGTTTAAGACTATCAAATGAGTGGCAGATATACCAAGTATCCTATTATGGAGCAAATCAAAATACACGCTTGAAATCTCTCGGAAAAAAATTGTCAAAAGCTCACACTGCTGCTTTACGTGATGAAAATGTAGCTAATGAAGATGCTCTTGGAAAATTGTGTGATGCCATGAATGCTTCGCATCTAAAGACAACTTGTTCAATTTTGGGTTCTGCATATTATTAAGCTCAGAATGACAGACCATTCTCTGATCACTTTGGCTTACTGGAACTACAAAAGCAAAATGGTACAGTATTGACATTGGAATGGGACTGCATTCCCGCACTAATGCCACAGAGATAATCACATAATCATTAATATGAAAAATCAAATTTGCCAGCATATCAAGCAGATAAATGGCAAAATTTATGTTCTCACTGATGAATCAACAAGCCTGAGTATTAAAACAACCTTGCTAGTTAACTTGAAATGTGAAAGTGATATGGAAGGTAATCCCCATTTCATATTCTTAAATCTAATTGAACTAGCTGATCAGAAAGCAGCAACTATTGCTAGGCATCTATTGAGCTATCTCAATTACTGTAACATGGGTTTGATGATTTATATTTGAAACAGAACCTTGTAGCATGTGCTAGTGATGGGGCAAGTGTCATGCCTGGTGTCAAATCTGGTGTTGCAACAATTCTCAAAGAACATTACCCTGATATAATAACCTGGCACTGTCTTAGTCATATATTAGAACTTGCAGTAGGTGATTTAGTGAGAAGTTCATGGAATTAATCATTTTCAAGCATTTATGGACAGATTGTACTCAGTTTACAGTAGATCACATCTAAATCAAAAGCAACTATCTGAATGTGCCTCTCAATTTGAATAACAGATTTGCAAAATAGGCCGTGTTCTGAGCACCAGGTGGGTGGCCAGCTTGTTTCCAACCATTTCATCAGTGTGGAAAAATTCGAAAGCTCTGTTTTCATTTTTAAAAAGCAGTGAAAGAGGAAACAAGATTTGGAAGTGATAGAAAACCCTATGAAGGTCTGTTAAAAAGCTAACTTCAGAATAGATTCTATTGGATTTAGCTCTAATGTATGACATGTTGCAAGAACTTGGTTTACTGTCAGTGTCTACAAAACGCACTACTTCGATTGTGTATGCAGACAAACTGATTCAACGGAGCATAAGGTCATTCATTGCATAGACTAAAAGAGAAACCTGGCACTAGAAATTTAGAAGCTCAAAAGGCAACATGAATAGAAGTTTAGAGGCATTACCATAACAAGCAACAAGAAAATTGTCTCCATTAATTATCAACAGTTTCTTACTAATCTTGTGAAC